TTTTGGAGGACGATGATAACCTTTTTGATGATGATGATGAATTTTTTGAGACTGATGAATTTTTGAGGATGATGATGCAATTCTTTGAGGATGAGTGACAATTTTTGAGGATGATGATAATTTTGAGGATGAGTGATGAATTTTTGAGGATGACATGATGAATTTTTGATGATGAGTGATGAATTTTTGAGGATGATGATGAATTTTTGAGATGATGATGAATTTTTGAGATGAGGATGAATTTTTGATGATGATGATAATTTTTGAAGATGATGATGAATTTTTGATGATGATGATGAATTTTTTGAGGACGATGATGAATTTTTGATGACGATGATTAATCCTTTTTGAGGACGATGATGAATTTTTGATGACGATGATTAATTTTTGAGGACGATGATGAATTTTTGAGACGATGATGAATTTTTGAAGACGATGATTTAACCTTTTGATGATGATGAATTTTTGAAGATGACGAGATGGTTTGAGATGAGGATGAATTTTTGAGGATGATGATGCAATTTTTGAGGATGATGATAATTCTTTGAGACGATGATGAATTTTTGAGGATGATGATACCTTGATGACGATGATTAATTTGATGACGATGATGAATTTTTTGAGGACGATGATGAATTTTTGAGGACGATGATGTAATTCCTTGATGACGATAAAGAATCACATTTATATATGGGTGAAAAAAACAAACGCTCACAGCTTTAAAAAAAAAAAAAAAAAAAAACACTAAATTCAGAATCAAGTAAAACAAACAATTACATCTGAGTGAAAAAAAATTGCGTTCGTAGTAAAAATAAGTAAAATTAACATTCGTATCTGGGTTAAAAAAAGTGCGTTGACAACTAAAAACATAAGCCACTCCATTCTGTCTCAGAGTGTGTTTATCTCGCCAGTGTGTGTTTAGAGTGTGTTTACATGTTCCTAGAGTGTGTTTACCTCCTCAGAGTGTGTTTACAAGTTCACAAAGTGTGTTTACCCCCTCAGAGTGTGTTTACATGTTCCCAGAGTGTGTTTACCCCCTCAGAGTGTGTTTACATGTTCCCAGAGTGTGTTTACCCCCAGTGTGTTTACCCCCCAGAGTGGTTTACATGTCCCAGAGTGTGTTTACCCCCTCAGAGTGTGTTTGCCCCCTCAGAGGTGTGTTTACATGTTCCCAGAGTGTGTTTACCCCCCAGAGTGTGTTACCTCCTCAGAGTGTTTACATGTTCCTCAGAGTGTGTTTACCCCCCCAGAGTGTGTTTACATGCCCCAGAGTGTGTTTACCCCCAGAGTGTGTTTACATGTTCCCAGAGTGTGTACCCCCTCAGAGTGTGTTTACATGTTCCCAGAGTGTGTTTACTCTCCTCATGGTGTTTACATGTTCCCAGAGTGTGTTTACCCTCAGAGTGTGTTTACATGTTCCCAGAGTGTGTTTACCCCTCAGAGTGTGATTACATGTTCCCAGAGGTGTGTTTACCCCTCAAGAGTGTGTTCAGAGTGTGTTACGTGTCCCCAGGGAAGAGGGTAGGAAAGCTCACATCATGCTTTAACGCTTCAACCTCACACTCCAGACCTCATCCTGGTTACTCCTTGATGTTGTCCTCAAGTGGATGAAGACAAACCTAGGTACAGTCCCCTTCACTTGTGCGTTTACAGGGGCTGGTCATATAGCCTAGGTACAGTCCCTTCACTAGTGTGTTTACAGGGGCTGGTCATATGGCTCTAGGTACAGTCCCTCACTAGTGACTAGTGTGTGTTTACAGGGGCTGGTCATAGGCTCAGGTACAGTCCCCTTCACTAGTGTTTACAGGGCTGGTCATATAGCCTAGGCACAGTCCCCCTCACTAGTGTGTTTACAGGACTGGTCATAGCCTAGGCACAGTCCCTTCACTAGTGTGTTTACAGGGGCTGGTCATATAGCCCAGGTACAGTCCCCTTCACTATGTGTGTTTACAGGGGCTGGTCATAGGCCCAGGGTACAGTCCCTTCACTAGTGTGTTTACAGGGGCTGGCCATATGCCTAGGCACAGTCCCTTCACTAGTGTGTTTACAGGGGCTGGTCATATAGCCTAGTACAGTCCCCCTTCACTAGTGTGTTTACAGGCTGGTCATATAGCCTAGGCACAGTCCTTCACTTGTGTGTTTACAGGGGCTGGTCATATAGCCTAGGTACAGTCCCCTTCACTTGTGCGTTTACAGGGCTGGTCATATAGCTCAGGGGTACAGTCCCCTTCACTTGTGCGTTTACAGGGGCTGGTCATATAGCCTAGGCATGTCCCTCCCTCACTAGTGTGCTTTTACAGAGGCTGGTCATATAGCTCAGGTACAGTCCCCTTCACTAGTGCGTTTACAGAGGCTGGTCAGGCCTAGGTACAGTCCCTTCACTAGTGTGTTTACAGGGGCTGGTCATATAGCCTAGGCACAGTCCCCTTCACTAGCAAGTGTTTACAGAGGCCATTACATAGCCCAGGTACAGTCCCTTCACTAGTGTGTTTACAGGGGCTGGTCATATAGCCCAGGCACAGTCCCCTTCACTAGTGTGTTTACAGGGGCTGGCTCATATAGCCTAGGGTACAGTCCCCCTTCACTAGTGTTTACAGGGGCTGGTCATATAGGCACAGTCCCTTCACTAGTGTGTTTACAGGGGCTGGTCATATAGTTTGTACAGTCCCCTTCACTAGTGTGCTTTACAGGGGCTGGCTCATATAGCTCAGGCACAGTCCCCCTCTTCATTTCACTAGTGTGTTTACAGGGGCTGGTCATATAGCCTGTAAGTACAGTCCTCCTTCACTTGTGTGTTTACAGGCTGGTCATATAGCTCAGGTACAGTCCCTTCACTAGTGTGTTTACAGGGGCTGGTCATAGCCTAGTACAGTCCCCCTTCACTAGTGTGTTTACAGAGGGGCTGGT